TCCAGAACCCCAACATGGCACTACCCTCTGTTGCGGGCCCTGCCATGGAAAAACGCGTGGTGGATGCACGTCTCACGAAGGTGGGTGATTTGGTGAGACCGGGTGAGGGGCAGTGGCTTCTCACTACCGAGATAGCTACAATGGCCAAGATGCACTCAGTGAGACTCGCCGCAAAGCTCGTGAATGAGGTACAAAGGTCTTTCTCAACAGCAGAGGGGAGCACGCCTGCTGTGAGTGCTGGTGACGAGTCAGCTAGCCGTGGCCCATTGCCACCAACACTGAATGTGCTCCCAGCAAGGAAGCACACTCAACTCTCTTGCTCACAGCAGCACTGGGGGCACACCTCGGGGACTGACCAGGAGAAATACTTCTCAGATGTAGACCGGAAAAAGCTGTACGCCCAAGTGGTCAATTTCCACCATCAACAAATAATAATAATAACGTCACGCAAAGGCTACGATTGGAGGGACACGATGCCCTGCAGTGATCGCGTGAGGCCTCATTGTGAGCTGTTTTACTCAAATCCATCGTACAAGCGCCACTGTGATCTGAGCTGGAGCATTGCCCATGGGACTGTGACCACAAACACATTTCTGGCACTTTTCACAGACACAAATCCGAAATGCATATTCCGTGGTGAGCTCGAAACAGTGGCGCATCAATGCGTACACTGCAAAAGTCTAGACTCACTCTATAAGCTTCGATTTAAAGCTTTCGTGACTGCAATGATTCATCTTCTTTGGTTCTTTCGGTAAAGTCACGTAGAATGAGAATAAAATAATACATTGATAAAATAAAATAACACAATAATATTCTCACGACGTTTCGGCCACAACACAAGCGGCCTTCATCAGGTGAAGGGACGAGACTGTCTGGTAGGACAGCGCTGTCTCGTCCCTTCACCTGATGAAGGCCGCTTGTGTTGTGGCCGACACGTCGTGAGAATATTATTGTGTTATTTTATTTTATCAATTTATTATTTTATTCTCATTCTACGTGACTTTACCGAAAGAACCAAAGAAGACTCTATAAGCTGTTACGAAAGAGTCTACTGAAATTCAATCTTAATTTTTCCCTCACAATTCTTATTTTTGGATATAGGGGGAACGAGGGTACCAATAATATAAAGGGGTTGACGAACTTCATCATGAACAACGCCAAACTGCCTATCTATAGGGCCAGAAAATGCGCAATTGACGGGAGCGGCTTCCCCAGCCACTGCCGCATCTTCAAGGCCCTGCCTGGTTTCTGCCAGTTGATGGGGGGTGTCGCATCTTTCTTGACACTCTTGATTTGAAGCTTTCGTGACTGCAGGAATCCATACTCTTTAGTCACGTAGGTAGAATTCTTGCTTGACACCTTGGACTGACCGAGGGTGCTTTGTGTAATGTGACGAAAGCAGGGGATCTGGTAATGGGTTTTTGAGGGAGAATTTTCTTGTTGGTGTCTATGAACACAGTAGCACACAATGGGATTTATATTACACGCGTAAACCGTTATATATTTTATTTAAAAAAGGGGGCACAAAAGCAAAAAAAAGCAACAAAAAAACCCGACGATTACGAACGAAGCAAAGTTCTAGATTTTAAGCTTTCGTGACTGCAAGGATCCATACTCTTTGGTTCTATTCGGTAAAGTCACGTAGGTAAAAAATAAAACAACAAAAATCACGACGTTTCGGCCACAATTTTTTATGCTAATTCCTTTGTCAAGGCGCCTTAATTCCTCTCACACAGCTTAAAGGTCGCGGTCTGAGCTTGGCTGTGTTCACTCCAGCGCTTTCCTCGAGACAGTCTCGTCCTATTCTTCAATAAGCTCAGCTTATTGAAGAATATATTGAGCACATTTATTATATTGATGTAAGTTAGACTTGGGTTTTTTCACATCAGTTTACTGTATGATAGTTGATTTGTTGCATCACCCATTGGCGTCCATGTACGAGGTACCTCTGTGGATGTGCAAGCCTTGACTTTAACAAAGCTACTTCTGTGACCAGTACTAGGTTCCTCTGTGGATGTGTAGGCTTCAACTTTAACATCGCTATTTCTGTGACCAGTCACAAGCTAATCCCCTTAGCTATTTCAATGCTAAATTCTATTGTTTGATTTGTACTGGGTGCCTCTGTGGATGTGTAGGCTTTGAATTTACATAGCCATTTCTGTGACCAGTCACAAGCTAATCCCTCAACCTTTTTCAATGCTAAATTATACTGCTTGGGTGCCTGACTTTCGCTCAACCAGCTTAAAAGGGCGCTACGAATCTTAACAGCGTTTATTGAAGCTCTGTCGTCCCAACAGGTCTGTCCCTTTCACCTGAAGAAGGCCGCTTGTGTTGTGGCCGAAACGTCGTGTTTTTTCTCGTTTTATTTTTTACCTACGTGACTTTACCGAATAGAACTAAAGAGTAACGAAGCAAAGTGCCAAGAATCCGAGCATCTTTCTGTTCTGATCGTAAAAATAAGGAGGGAGGGACGTGGTTTGTGTGGCCAGGCACGGGAGCTCTCCCAGTCACGACTCGCGGGACGGAGATGGCGTTCGTGGAATTTTAATACGATTATCATCACAGCAACAACAATACAACCAATATTAACCCGTGCACAGTTATATTATTTTCTGTGAATGTTCACTAATGTCATAGCGCAGAGCGACGCGAGGATTACATGTGAACAAATGCACACGCATGAATAATTATAACAAGACTGTCGCCATGATCACCATCATCACAAGAGGTTAAACGGAGGAATCTGACAATTTGTGGGACACGGCGCGGAGCTGCGCACGCAACTCCGCATTAGCAGACTCGTCGCTTTTCGACAGCAGCGCGAGAGCGAGACACGACGTAGACACATCGTGACTCACGCACAGCTCCGTGGGCTAGGAGCGTGAGAAGCGTTCGTGCGACGTGAACCAAAAACGTGAAGCTGATGCCACGATTTCGCTGCTGACTTCACAGATTTCTTTTCACGGCGAGGGGGGTGCATCTTCGACGTAAATATGCCTTTGCGTTTCTCAATAAGACTCCCTCCATCCTCAGGTAAACACCGCACGAGAACCCGCTCCCGGCAACGCTGACGATTATCTGAACCGGTCCCGGGCCTCCCCTAGGTCGACTTCGCCTCAAATGGGTACCTGGTTGCGATATGTAAACATCGCCACTGGGGAGACAAAGGCGGCCGGGCGTGGAGCTGGCCACCCACCCCCTCGCGTGCCGTTCCGGCCTTTATAGGCGCTCGCTAACAGCACTTGCCCCAACAGTCTGTGAAGGCTACACGGGTCATCTTTGTCTGCTGTGTACATGCACGCGAGCACCGCTACACAGTGGCGCTCGTGCACTGCGGATGTCGTGGGGCAGGCATGGAGGGACACATCTGTAAAATAAACGGTGAACCCTCTGTGTGTGTTTTTATTTGACCAGGTAAGGCCAACTTAGCAGCGATGCAGCTCTTTTTCAGAAGCGACCTGGAAGTGGCTTATCATCATCATCATCACCACGTGGAAATCTACAGCAGCAGCCAAATGCTATAGAGGCATGATATTCATTCTAAATGTGTAGGGAAAAACCGGAGGACCCGGAGAGAGAAATGCACGCATCCACGAGGAGAAAGACAGACACGCAAACTCCAAATATACAGCAGCAGCAGGCGTCAGGGTTGTGATCGAACCCATGACCTCCTGCATACCTGGCGAGGTAGTTAACATCTCATAGCCACCGTGACGATGATGAGAGAGACACGCAAACTCCAAATATACAGCAGCAGCAGGCGTCAGGTTGTGATCGAACCCATGACCTCCTGCATACCTGGCGAGGTAGTTAACATCTCATTGCCACCGTGACGATGATGAGAGAGACACGCAAACTCCAAATATACAGCAGCAGCAGGCGTCAGGGTTGTGATCGAACCCATGACCTCCTGCAAACCTGGCGAGGGAGTTAACATCTCATAGCCACCGCGGCGCCCCTGGATCAACGTTCGCCTCGTTCGTGTCTACATCACTTCTCAATGTGCTCGCTAACACGCGAATCACCATGTGATGTCAAACAACCGCGCACACGACAGACAGAATTGACGGATTGTCACGGGCGTTGTTGCACGACCTATATTGCTCCAACTTGCGTAGTATACACATAGTGTTTGTATATATGTGAAGGCGAGAAGATAAGGATATGTTTATGCCAACAAAATAAACTGGAGAGTTCCATCCAGCATCGCATTCATCCGCACGCGCCGGGTCCGTCGCTGCGCTCTGCATCCTCCCTGGGTTGAGCGCCGCGCTCTGAGAGAGAAGAAGCTGCGCACCCTCTCTCTCCATCTCTCTCCATCTCTCTCTCTCCATCTCCCCCTCTCTCTCCATCTCCCCCTCTCTCGCCATCTCCCCCTCTCTCTCCATCTCCCCCTCTCTCTCCATCTCCCCCTCTCTCTCCATCTCCCCCTCTCTCTCCATCTCCCCCTCTCTCTCCATCTCCCCCTCTCTCTCCATCTCCCCCTCTCGCTCCATCTCCCCCTCTCTCTCCATCTCTCTCTCTCTCTCCATCTCTCTCCATCTCCCTCTCTCTCTCCATCTCTCTCTCTCTCCATCTCTCTCCATCTCCCTCTCTCTCTCCATCTCTCTCTCCATCTCTCTCCATCTCCCTCTCTCTCTCTCTCCATCTCTCTCTCCATCTCTCTCCATCTTCCTCACTCTCACTCCCTCCTCGCCCGCCACGCGCGTCACTTGACGACAAAAAAACGACGACGACGACGAAAAGAGTCGCGCAGGCTCCCTCCAGCCTCCCACCAGCCTCCCTCCAGCCTCCCACCAGCCTCCCTCCAGCCTCCCACCAGCCTCCCTCCAGCCTCCCTCCAGCCTCCCTCCAGCCTCCCTCCAGCCTCCCTCCAGCCTCCCTCCAGCCTCCCTCCAGCCTCCCTCCAGCCTCCCACCAGCCTCCCACCAGCCTCCCTCCAGCTTCCCACCAGCCTCCCACCAGCCTCCCACCAGCCTCCCACCAGCCTCCCTCCAGCCTCCCACCAGCCTCCCTCCAGCCTCCCTCCAGCCTCCCACCAGCCTCCCACCAGCCTCCCACCAGCCCGCCCCCCGCAAGGGGCGGCCGCTGTCTGAGCGCAGCGCTCCACTCAGCCGGTGCCGGGGCGACACCCACCGCGGTGCATCACCCGCCCCACCACCTAACAACAACAACAACCACCACCATCACGCCCTTCTCCACCCAACCCCGCCTCTCGCAACCGCCTCCTCCGGCTATAAAAGGGAGGTGAGTGGCCGCTGGGCAGCGAGATTCCTGGCGAGACCTCAAGCCACGCTCACAGACAAACAGGCAAACAAACAGGCAAACAAACAGGCAAACAAACAGGCAAACAAACAGACAGATAGACAGCCAGACAGACAGACAGCCAGTAGCTGTGTGTGCACGCACGCCGACGTGAGGTCCACACAGGAGAGATCTCGCACACGCATTAATCCACTCACCCCACTCACCAAACCAACCTCTCTGCGTGTCTCACTGCACCACCCCACTCTGACGTTCCAAAGTAATCCTGGGGGGACTTCCCGAGTCGCCAGCGCCGCTCGCAAACGGCAACCCGTGCTTCGTTCCACGCGACTTCCACACAACATTGGCCGCGATGGCTCCCAGACAGCAGCAGCAGCAGCAGGAGTACGTCGTCCCGACCAAGAACTGCCACCGAATGGTGGTGCTGGGTTCATCCAAAGTGGGGAAGACGGCGCTGGTGGCCCGCTTCCTCACGGGTCGCTACGAGGACACCTACACCCCGACCATCGAGGACTTCCACCGCAAGCTGTACCGCATCAGGGGGGAGCTCTACCAGCTGGACGTCCTCGACACTTCGGGGAATCATCCCTTCCCGGCCATGAGGCGCCTCTCCATCCTGACCGGTGAGCGGCCGCTTTGACATCAGCAGCATTGACAGACTCCTTCCTCTACGACTTTAGTTCGTTGCACTTCCCCCATGTATGTATGTGCAGCGCCGGCGGGGGCAGCGGCGGCAGTGGTGGCAGCTGTGGTGGCAGCTGTGGTGGCAGTGGCTGCTGCTGCTGTGGTGGCAGTGGCAGCAGTGGCAGCTGTGGTGGCAGTGGCAGCAGTGGTGGCAGTGGCAGCGGCAGCAGCTGTGGTGGCAGTGGCAGCAGTGGTGGCAGTGGCAGCTGTGGTGGCAGTGGTGGCAGTGGCAGCGGCAGCAGCTGTGGTGGCAGTGGCAGCAGTGGCGGCTGTGGTGGCAGTGGCGGCTGTGGTGGCAGTGGCAGCAGTGGCAGCTGTGGTGGCAGTGGCAGCTGTGGTGGCAGTGGCGGCTGTGGTGGCAGTGGCAGCGGCAGCAGCTGTGGTGGCAGTGGCGGCAGTGGCGGCTGTGGTGGCAGTGGCGGCTGCTGCTGCTGTGGTGGCAGTGGCAGCAGTGGCAGCTGTGGTGGCAGTGGCGGCAGTGGCGGCTGTGGTGGCAGTGGCGGCAGTGGCAGCTGTGGTGGCAGTGGCAGCAGTGGCAGCTGTGGTGGCAGTGGTGGCAGTGGCAGCGGCAGCAGCTGTGGTGGCAGTGGCGGCAGTGGTGGCAGTGGCAGCAGTGGCAGCTGTGGTGGCAGTGGCGGCTGCTGCTGCTGCTGTGCGAGTGAAGCCACCGCTTGGCTGAGCGCTCCCCGCTACCCCACGACGAATGTCTCAGCGCTGAGCAACGACTCCGTGCTGTCACCCCCCGCATTGTTACGGCGTTAACGCAAAGACGATCTGTGTGTACTGTGTGTGTGTACTGTGTGTGTGTACTGTGTGTGTACTGTGTGTGTACTCTGTGTGTGTGCTGTGTGTACTGTGTGTGTGTACTCTGTGTGTACTGTGTGTACTGTGTGTGTGCTGTGTGTACTGTGTGTACTCTGTGTGTACTGTGTGTACTCTGTGTGTGTGCTGTGTGTGTACTGTGTGTGTGTGCTGTGTGTACTCTGTGTGTGTGTGCTGTGTGTACTCTGTGTGTGTACTGTGTGTGTACTGTGTGTGTGCTGTGTGTGTACTCTGTGTGTGTGCTGTGTGTACTGTGTGTACTCTGTGTGTACTGTGTGTGTACTGTGTGTGTGTGCTGTGTGTACTGTGTGTACTCTGTGTGTACACTCTGTGTGTGCTCTCTGTGTGTACTGTGTGTACTCTGTGTGTACTCTGCGTGTACTCTGCGTGTACTTTGTACTCTGTGTGTACTGTGTGTGTGCTCTCTGTGTACTGTGTGTACTGTGTGTGTACTGTGTGTGTACTGTGCGTGTACACAGAGATACAGGTGGTGGTGGTGTGGCCTGGGTTTGTACCCAATGGGCTGTGTCTGTGTGTACTGTGTGTGTACTCTGTGTGTGTACTCTGTGTGTACTGTGTGTGTGTACTCTCTGTGTGTACTCTGTGTGTACTGTGTGTGTACTCTGTGTGTACTGTGTGTGTACTCTATGTGTGTACTCTGTGTGTACTGTGTGTGTGCTCTCTGTGTACTGTGTGTACTGTGTGTGTACTGTGTGTGTGTACTGTGTGTGTACTCTCTGTGTGTGTGCTGTGTGTGTACTGTGTGTGTGCTGTGTGTGTGCTGTGTGTGTACGCTGTGTGTGTGCTGTGTGTGTGCTCTGTGTGTGTGCTGTGTGTACTCTGTGTGTGTACTGTGTGTGTACTGTGTGTGTGTGCTGTGTGTGCTGTGTGTACTGTCTGTGTGCTGTGTGTGTGCTGTGTGTGTACTGTGTGTGTGCTGTGTGTGTACTGTGTGTGTACTGTGTGTACTGTGTGTGTGCTCTGTGTGTACTCTGTGTGTACTGTGTGTGTGTGTGTACTGTGTGTGTGCTGTGTGTACTCTGTGTGTACTGTGTGTGTGTGTACTGTGTGTGTGCTGTGTGTGTACTGTGTGTACTGTGTGTGTGCTGTGTGTACTCTGTGTGTACTGTGTGTGTGTACTGTGTGTGTGCTGTGTGTGTACTGTGTGTACTGTGTGTGTGCTCTGTGTGTACTCTGTGTGTGTACTGTGTGTGTACTGTGTGTACTGTGTGTGTACTGTGTACTGTGTGTGCACTCTGTGTGTGCTGTGTGTACTCTGTGTGTACTGTGTGTGTGCTGTGTGTACTCTGTGTGTAATGTGTGTGTGTGCTGTGTGTGTGCTGTGTGTAATGTGTGTGTGCTGTGTGTGTGCTGTGTGTGTGCTGTGTGTAATGTGTGTGCTGTGTGTGTACTGTGTGTGTACTGTGTGTGTGCTGTGTGTACTGTGTGTACTCTGTGTGTACTGTGTACTGTGTGTGCACTCTGTGTGATGTGTGTACTCTGTGTGTGCTGTGTGTGTACTGTGTGTGTACTGTGTGTACTCTGTGTGTACTCTGTGTGTAGCGTGTACTCTGTGTATTCTGTGTGTACTCTGTGTGTACTCTGTGTGTACACTCTGTGTGTGCTCTCTGTGTGTACTGTGTGTACTCTGTGTGTACTCTGCGTGTACTCTGTACTCTGTGTGTACTGTGTGTGTACACAGAGAGACAGGTGTGGGTGGGGGCTGGGTTTGTACCCAATGGGCTGTGTCTGTGTGTACTGTGTGTGTACTCTGTGTGTACTCTGTGTGTGTACTGTGTGTACTCTGTGTGTACTGTGTATGTACTCTCTGTGTACTGTGTGTACTGTGTGTGTACTCTGTGTGTACTGTGTGTGTACTCTCTGTGTACTGTGTGTACTGTGTGTGTACTCTGTGTGTACTGTGTGTGTGTATACTGTGTGTGTACTCTCTGTGTGTACTCTGTGTGTACTGTGTGTGTGCTCTCTGTGTACTGTGTGTACTGTGTGTGTACTGTGTGTGTGTGTACTGTGTGTGTACACAGAGAGACAGGTGGTGGTGGTGGGGGCTGGGTTTGTACCCAATGGGCTGTGTCTGGGTCCCCACCAGAGGCAGAGCCGCGCGGGCGCCTCGCGAACTGCCCCCCCCCCCTTGTCCCCCCCTTGTCCCCCCCCTCATTGTCCCCCCCCCTCATTGTCCCCCCCCCCTCATTGTCCCCCCTCCCCCATTGTCCCCCCCCCTCATTGTCCCCCCCCCTCATTGCCCCAGCGGCGTGGGCACGCCGCGTCCTGGAACGAGTGTGGGAAGCGCAGCTCAATGGCAGCGTCGTCGTTTTAGTCGTGGGGTTCGCTTTAATCATAATGAGGACAATGACGATGAGAATGATTTGCGAGCTCCTATTAAGTCACCGCTGACTCACCCCACAGCGACTCACGACCCACGCGAGACCCGCGTCCTGTCACGAATTCCACAAACACGAAGTGTGTTGATGGGAAAACACACGAGGAGGTTTTACTCCTTGCTGGCACTACAACGAGGAGGTTTTACTCCTTGCTGGCACTACAACGGGCGGTGTCGAGAAGCTCAAACGCCAAAATAGAAATGTACCTTCTACAAGGCACCAACACGACTGCATTCACCACCACACACGCTACTTGTGGAAACTAACAAGAACATCTTAAACGCCTGTTTTATTGCCATGAAGGGTAAAACCCAATCTTATTTTGTTTAAATAAAACGCGCTCAGCGTGACTACGATACCATTTTTTCAGCAATATTTGTACTGTACGTTGAACTTCTTTCCCACCGTACGTAGCCAACCGCGCTCTCATCGGAGGGGAAAGGACAACGACACTAAACACAAAATGAACACGTTTTTGTTATTATTCAATTTGTTTGAATCTGTCACTGTGGAGCGCGTTCATGTTCTCTAGCCGGCTGAGTCGCCCTCGCAAACAAAATAAAGAGCCACTTCGCTCAGTGGGGGGGGGATAATCGTGGCGACTGTGAACTCATCACGGCATCACCACAAACCGCGATTGATTTGCGACGCCACCTGACCCGCTGCGCGATCAGCCGTGCACCCACCCACCCACCCAACGCCCGATCTCCCCCGTAGGCTGACGCGCGCCTCTCTCTCTGTGTGTGTTTGTGTGCCACAGGTGACATCTTCGTGCTGGTATTCAGCCTGGACAACCGCGAGTCTCTGCACGAGGCGTGCCGCCTGCGCGAACAGATCCTGCAGACCAAGGCGTGCCTGCGCAACCGGCCGACGCACTCCCTGGACGACGTGCCCATCGTCATCTGCGCCAACAAGGCGGAGCCGGCGTCGCAGCAGCAGCAGCAGCTGGCCCCCGGGGCTGCTGCTGCTGCTGGAGACAGCCCCGGGGGCCAGCAGCAACAGCAGCTGCAGCTGGCCCCCGGGGCTGCTGCTGCTGCTATTGCTGCTGCTGCTACTGCTGCTGCTGCGGGAGACAGCCCCGGGGGCGCCGATCCCTCGCAGCCTCCCGGGGCGCTGTCCCGGGACGAGGTTCTGGCCGTGCTGGGGGCCGGCGTGCCGTACTTCGAGGTGAGCGCCAAGCGCAACCATGGCGTGGACGAGATGTTCCACGCGCTCTTCACGCTGGCGGGGCTGCCCCGAGAGATGAGCCCTGCCCTGCACCGACGCGTCTCGGCGCTGCCCTGCCCGGGAAGGGGCGGCGGCGGCGGCGGCGGAGGAGGAGCGGGGGTGGAAGGGGACAGCGACTGTGACAGGCAGCCTGGCGGGCACGGCAAGAGCAGCCTGTGCGGGGGCTCGGGCTCGAAGGCGATGGACGCGTGGGGCCTGGTGGCCACGTGCGCGCGCAGGCCCAGCGTGCACAGCGACTTGCTGTACGTGCGCCAGAAGGCGCTGCTGTGTCGCTCGCAGAGCAAAGAGCGCTCGGACAAGTGCTGCATCATGTGATCAAGTGCTGCATCATGATGTGAAGAAGTGCTGCATCATGTGATCAAGTGCTGCATCATGATGTGAAGAAGTGCTGCATCATGATGTGAAGAAGTGCTGCATCACGTGAATTCGTGCTCCATCGTGATGTGAAGGGGTGCTGCACCACACAAACAAGTTCTGCATCTTCTTTGGTTCTTTCGGTAAAGTCACGTAGAATGAGAATAAAATAATAAAATAAAATAAGACAATAAAATTCTCACGACGTTTCGGCCACAACACAAGTAGCCTTCTTCAGGTGAAAGGAACAGAACTGTCGGGACGACAGAGCTTCAATGAGCGCTGATAAGATTCGTAGCGTCTTTTAAGCTGGGTGAGAGAAGTGAGGCACCTTGACAAAGGAGTTTACATATCAAACAGGAGAATTTAGCATTGAAACAGTTGAGGGATTAGCTTGTGACTGGTCACAGAAATAGCTATGTTAAAGTCAAAGTTTACACATCCACAGAGGCACCTAGTACATGGACGCCAAAGGGACTGCAACTACCCAACTATCATACAGTAAACCGATGTGAAAAAACTAAGTCTAAATTACATCAATATAATAAATGTACTCAATATATTCTTCAATAGGCTGAGCTATTAACAGCAACTGGGTATACACTACACTATATAATGAATACCATATAGTAAACCAATAAAAACTAAAATATAAACTACCTCAATGTTACTCTTTGGTTCTATTCGGTAAAGTCACGTAGGTAAAAAATAAAACAACAATTTATAATATTCGTGAGAATATTATTGTGTTATTTTATTTTATCAATTTATTATTTTATTCTCATTCTACGTGACTTTACCGAAAGAACCAAAGAAGATGAATCCTTGCAGTCACGAAAGCTTTAAATCGAAGTTCTGCATCGTGAGGCGAAGAAGTGCAGAAGAAGTGGAGGGAGGGAGGTGCTGCAAGGATCATCGCTGACTTTGAGCATCGGACACTTTGTTCTTTTGATTTTTGATCGACTTGCGGACCTTGAATGGGCGTGCACGCACGGTGTGAAGGACGTCGTCACCACTGTGCCTGTGTTGGGCTTGCGGTGGTTTACACACCCGCACGCACACACACACATTCACACACACACATTCACACACATACATTCACACACACACACATTCACACACACACACATTCACACACACACACATTCACACACACACATTCACAAACACACACACACATTCACACACACACACATTCACAAACACACACACACATTCACACACACACACACATTCACAAACACACACACACACATTCACACACACACATACATTCACACACGTGCGCACGCACACACACACATTCACGCACACATTCACACACATTCACGCACATTCACACACACACATTCACACACACACACATTCACAAACACACACACACATTCACACACACACATTCACAAACACACACACACACATTCACACACACACATTCACAAACACACACACACATTCACACACACACACACATACATTCACACACGTGCGCACACACACACACATTCACGCACACATTCACACACATTCACACACATTCACACACACACACATTCACACACACACATTCACAAACACACACACATTCACACACACACACATTCACAAACACACACACACATTCACACACACACATTCACAAACACACACACACATTCACACACACACATACATTCACACACGTGCGCACACACACGCACACACACACATTCACGCACACATTCACACACATTCACACACATTCACACACACATTCACACACACACACACATTCACACACACACACATTCACAAACACACACACATTCACACACACACATTCACAAACACACACACATTCACACACACACATACATTCACACACGTGCGCACACACACGCACACACACACATTCACGCACACATTCACACACATTCACACACATTCACATACACGCACACAGACACATTCACGCACACATTCACGCACATTCACATACACGCACACACACATTTACACAGACACATTCACACACACATTTACACAGACACATTCACACACATTCACACACACACATTCACACACACAAAAGACAAATATTTCCCCGTATAGCCTTCACAGACTGTAGGGGCAAGTGCTGTTAGCGAGCACCTACGAAGGCCGGAACGGTACACGAGGGGGTGGGTGGCCAGCACCACGCCCGGCCGCCTTTGTCTCCCGAGTGGCGATGTTCACACCCCGCACTAGGTACTCATTTTTTAAGCTGAGTCGACCTAGGGGAGGCCCGGGATTGGTTCGGATAATCGTCACCGGGTGTTGGTGGCCGTGCGCGGGAATCGAACTCGGGTGGCCGAGTTCGTAGCGCTAACCGCTGCGCCACCGCTCCCCACACACACGCAGACACAGAGATGCTACATTGTTTACTACGTATGGACAGTCTACAATTCAATATAAGCTATTAAAACATATCTCTAAATGAAACTAAAGCTACAATGTCTACATTTCAAGTGAAAGGGAACTTTTAACATATACACTGTACAGAATATATTTAATATTTTGAAGTTGTATAACTATTTAGATATATCGAGCGTATACACATCGTCAACTTCATTACGATGCCACGGTTTACATTGATGTGAGCATTTGTATTTCACGAATGTGAAGAGTCAACACTTACCTTTAAAACATTTCAGCTTTGTGGAGCCTCACAGTTTTCGCTGCGCTTTATGCACTCGCTCGGCTCGTTTGCGTTTAATGACACGGCCCTTGGACCTGCAGCCAGACACTCGCACACACACACACGAGGGAGATTAACAGAGCAAGTGAACGGAATGTAACTTCCAGCTGAACACCTCGGAGTGCCCGGCAGGAGAGTGATTGAGGCGGGGCACGGACACACGGCGTTGTATTGCGTCGCTTGGCCCCACTGGGGACCCGAAATGGATTTTAAGCAAACATCGAGAGAGAGAGATGCGTGTTCCTGTGTGTGTGCAGTTCGGCCGATAAGCTTTTGGTGCAATTTCTAAGTGGATGCGCGCCTCTTGTAGTCCTGTTGTGTTGAGAATCCATTCCAGGCGTCGTTCCGTCGTATTCGTTCCGTGTCGTGATGAGGATCGCTGTCGTCTCACGGTCTTCGATTGAGGACGCCTCTTGCACGATTTTTTAAACGGTTGGCAAAACACCGCGGGAAATGTTTTTTTTTGTAAGTCCGTAACGAAACGTCGACGGACGTCACAAACTCGCGTATAGCGGTGGGGGAGGGGGGCGGTTTACGCGGTGCCCCCCTTTCGACTCCACTGCTTTAACCGATACAGTTTTACGCGGGGCAAGTTACGCAGACAGCCGTCGGCGCTTCTCGCGATGTCGAGGCCAGGGACGTCTACGGGCTGTGTGGGCTCCCTGCCGTGCGGGCTCCCTGCCGTACGGGCTCCCTGCCCTGCGGGCTCCCTGCCCTGCGGGCTCCCTGCCGTGCGGGCTCCCTGCCGTGCGGGCTCCCTGCCCAGAACCAACGGTGGACTTTAGACGTAAAGCCTCCGCGTCACTCCAAATTACTTCGCCAAAAATGTCGATCGATTGGCGTGCCGCGTGCCCTCGAGTAACGAACGCAACGGAGCTGCGCTCACGTGGCCGCAACGTCGAGTGGCGTGGCGCGTTTCTTGTTGCTAACCCCCCGACCCCTTCCCCTCTCGATGTGCCGCTGCATCCTCGGCCAGAAGTGTTCTTAGCGATCGCTGGGGAGGCTCAAACAGCTCGCGCAGCTCGTTGTATTTGCACAAAACAACAACAACAACAGACGCTCGCTCGCTCTTGTACAACACTGGCTTGTTTTTTACTTGAATATTTGATGAACTTGTTACAATTGCACTTGCCCTTCAGAGTGCGCGGGTCGTCGGCGACGTTTAGCTGCAAACTAATTTTTGTTGGGAGCTGTGAACCATCGTTGGTCGGACTTGAACCGTTGGTCGGCAAATAATATACACAAAGTCGACTTAGATGAGGATTTTGTACAATGTGTAGAGAGGTGTACATTGCGTTTTCTACGGTCGACTGCGTCCACGATAAAAAATAAAAATAAACATGAAGTACTCTTTACACGCGCCTATTTGACTCCCTTCTGTGGCATGCACTCATGGGTTTTGTATAATTAGACCTTGCTCAATCCGCTGCTGGAGAAAGGGCCAAGTCTAGAGGACGCTCTTCCTACAGAGCCCTTCTGAGAGGATTTTAACGATGAATCATGATTTAATGTTGTATTGCGTCATTCATGCTAATTGCATCCCACCACGCTGTACATGAATTATATATGAGGGCCAAATCCTATATACAGCTACTGCCAAGCAAAATAATAATTCAAGAAATGTCACCAAAAGAAGCACAAACGGCAATCAACGACGGGGGAAGTAGTCGTTCGTGATCGCCAAATCGCTTCTGAAAAAAAGCCACACATAGCTCCTTGGGCCATACATGGCTACATTATGAGAACAATAGTTGTTGGCTTAGTCCGTTAAGTCTCCCCATCCCATACCACATTCTCAACTTGTCACCCAGGGCGGGAATCCTTGGCAGGATGGGCGGTGGTGGAGTGCTCACACAGCGGCCTGGACAGAGATGTGGAGAGCGGGGGGAGTTTAAGGAACGCGCCCCCCATTGCCTAAGGATCTCTGATCGAATGCGGTAACCGTGGCAGGGCGGTAACATTTCTTTCAACACGTAATTTGTCAAACTTTGATACATTTTCAATTATTTATGCCGGATTCTTAACCGTGTATAATGCGGTAATACCTCGATTTACGAAGCAGATGCGTTCCTGGAGCTTCGTTCGGATATTGAAACTTGGTATGTTGATAAGTTGTAACATTAGTTATACCAGGATACGTTTCCCAGCCTTCGTAACTTGCCAATTCACACGATACACACATTACTTGCCATTGCTATTGTAGACAAATACATTGCCGATGATATATTTTATACCGGACATTATTAAAATTAAAAACTGACGTGAATAAAAGAAACAGACTAGACGATTCCTTGCAATCAATGTCGAGTTGGCATTGGGATATCTTGACGCCGCCGCTGTTATTGTCGAAAAAGGTTCAGCCAACATAGACATACCTAAAGATCAGAATCAGAATCAGAAAGGGTTTTATTCGCCATGAAAGTTCACACCGACACGGAATTTACTTTGGCAGGATGGTGCATACATTCAACATATAGGAATCTAAAATCTTAAATAAGTTTTAAACA